AATTCAAGTTTCTAGTCTTACATGTTCCTTTTCACTTTCACTGCTATTTCACCAAATCTCCTGGAGAATCTTCCATTCCTTTTGTTTCCTGAACTCAGAAATCCAGATGAAGCTGGATTGCAACCACAATTTTTGAGTCCCCTCAGAGCTGGGCCTTTTTGGCTTCATTCTTCTTTGTTAAATGTCTATGGAGATTCTCAGTCATCCACGTCATGGTTGTCCCAAAGGTGCTTTTTCCAAAAGGAAACTGGACTTTCATGGGTTTTTTCTTTGAAAATGTTTCTTTTCTCATCCAAGAAACTTCTTCAGTTCTAACTAACTGGTGGGGAATGGAAGGTTTTATATTCTATGCAGTGATCTGGTTGTTAGTACTCTTGAGTGTCATTGAGGTCATTTGGGGGTATATCTACATCCTCAGAGTCACCAGAATTAGAGTGCAAATGGGTGTGGAACCTTCTTGGGATTGCCGAAAGGACAGCATTGTAAAAAGGAGATATCCCTCCCCCTCTGTTGCAAACCTGCACAAGAATCATTTCACAGGTTCATGGCACAACACAGGAGAACAAACTCATCAGGACAGGATTCAGCAATCCATCTGCACCTGAAAGACAAAGGCCACTCTTTTAAAGACAGTAAAGTCCAAATTCTGGACAGAGAGGACCTCTGGTTTGAAAGAGGTGCTAAATTAAAATTGAATAGCCCCCCCCCTCCAACAGGATTGTCTCTTTTGCACAGGAGGTAGAAGTTCTTTATGTATCTATCGATGGCCGATTTGTCACAGTGCCAGGCTTCCAGGAATTCTCTAGAAATTTTGGACCTGGCTTGGTCTACGATGGTCACAGTTTCCCAGTTGAAATTATAATAAGTCTGTGCATAAATTGTGAAACTAAAGAGTTTTCATAATGTTCTGTGACTAGCACTCTGACAAATTGGTCACTTTTCTGAGAGAAAACAACCAAGGTCAGGGAGCACCAAGGACTCTTCATTCCAACCCTTAGCTACAAGTCTTCTCCTTTAAAGTAGAATAAATTACGCCAGATCGCTTGTAGTATCTCAAGTGAGAATGCTGGGTGGATTTGCTCGATGATGTGTTATTTGCTTTCAGGTTCTTTAGTTGCTTTGAAATCTGGACAGATGTTGTAATGGCTCTTTTCAAGGCTGCAGGTTGCACACCAGAGATGGTGACTGTCCTTTGCACTAGAGTTCTCTCACCCCATTTGAAGGAAGTTCTCTGCTTTTCCATCTCTTTTGCCAATATTTTCAGCTTCCTCCCCCTTTATGGGCAGAATCCAGTGGGTTCAATGGACCTTCATGCAATATATAAAGGTGCTCTTTCCATGATCATTTTTTGTGAGCAGGACACAGCCTGGTCATCTCTGAAACTTTCTTCTTTCGAATAACAGTGAGTAAAGTCTGCAGAATTTTTTTAAAAAACATTTTTTTCAGAGAATTAGAAGATGATTTTTAGAAAAGGGACTAGAATTTCTTGTTTTCTGGCTAGTTAATTTAGGCTATTTAGGCTAGTTAATGCTATTCCAGGCTAAACATATGTAAAGAGACAACAGTTTCTTCAGCCATAATAGGAAATGCCTGCTAGAGTTTGAGACAGAGAGAAGGAGAGTGGGGGGGGGGGGATTCAGACACTTGTGGAATTCTACTGAATGTAATGGATACATTATGCAAGGTATTATTTCTACTTTGTTTTGCTCTAATATTGCGGACTGTACAGCTGACAATTTGTTCAGTTTTTGGATCAGACTATCCTGTTCCTTGAGGACAAATAAAGTTAGGCCTTCCTCAAAAAAACCACAGAGATGATTATGTTAGGCAGCCTAGAGCATGTGTGGATGAGAAAATATTACGTGTGGCAGGCAGGCAGGCATGCATGCTGCTCGTTTGAGTGGGTATGCACGCATGCACACGCACTCGCCTGCCCAGGTCTGAAAGGCTCAAGGCCCGGTAGTGGGCTGCGGCCATTTTGGGCCTAATTGTGGGTTATAAGTCAACGATTCTCCACTGTGTAAATAGTTTCATTTATTTTTATTGATGGTTGTATGCCACCTAGAGTCACTTTTTGTGAGATGGGTGGACTTATAAAGATGAGAAATAAAAATAATATTTACTTATCACATATAAATCAATGATGAATTAGCATAAGGTGGGCTTATACAGTAAGAGGAATAATCTCATATTGGTTGTAACTTTTTCCAGGTCCATCAACTCTTCCTACTGTTGCAATGCTTTGTCAGCAACAGGGCAAACGGTTCCTGGCTGGCCCTGGATCTGTGACAGCCTATCTAGGCATTCCTTATGCTGAGCCTCCCCTGGGGAAGTTGCGCTTCCAGAAACCTCTTCCACATCAGCCATGGACTCAAACTTTGGAGGCCACCAGCTTTGGCAATTCCTGTCCTCAATTTATTTTCCAGGATTTCCCTGAATCAGAGGTATGGACTCCTAAAACACCACTGTCAGAAGATTGCCTTTCCCTCAACATCTGGGTGCCGCACCTACAACCTTCTTCACCAGTGCCTGTTTTGCTCTGGATACATGGAGGGGGATATTTCATGGGATCATCTTCTTTGGATTTATTCAATGGGGCCTCCTTAGCTGCCACTGAGAATGTCATTGTGGTCTCCATCAACTATCGCTTGGGAGCCCTAGGCTTTCTTTACTTGCCACCAGCTGCTCCAGGGAACCTAGGCTTATGGGACCAACAGCTGGCCCTGAAGTGGATAAAAGAGAATGCAGCTGCCTTTGGGGGAGACCCTTCTCGGGTGACCATTTCTGGCCAGAGTGCTGGAGGATCTTCTGTGAATTTCCATCTTCTTGCATCAAAAAGCCAGGACTTTTTTGCCCAAGCGGTGATCCAGAGTGGAACAGCCAATGCTTTCTTGGCTTGGAAGTCTCCTGAGGAAGCCAAACGGTTATCGCTGGAATTTGCTCATTTGCTAGGTTGTTCTGAGGACAGTAATACCAGCATATTGCATTGCCTGGAAACCAAAAATGTTTCTGAATTTATTCAACATGAAATATCTATGTTCTTCAAAGGTGGCTTCCTTCTGAATTTTCCCTTCAGGCCAACCGTAGATGGGGATTTTTTGCTTGGTGATCCAGAAAAGCTCATGGAGGAGGGGCAAATTCAGGTCAAACCTGTCCTCATAGGAAAAACCTCTGATGAAGGAGCCACATTTGTCCCTTATCTTTTCTCTAACACCACCCACAATCTCATCAATCAGGAGCAGCTTCTGAAAGGGATAGAACTGTTTGTGCCAAATGCAACTGAAGACTTTGTTCAGATGGTTGCCCTGAGGTACAGTGAAGGAAATCAGGGCCCAGCCAAATACCGCTCTGCTCTGTCCCACTTCTATACAGATTGGATCTTTGCATGCCCATTGATTGAAGCTGCAAGAAATATCAGGAAAACGGGGAGTCCTGTATATGCCTATTTATTCGCACATCGCCCTTCATGGTCAGTCTGGCCTGAATGGATTGGGGCATCCCACGGTGCTGAGATTCCTTACGTTTTTGGGACCCTTGAATCCGTGCTTCCTGTCAATCAAACGTACACAGAGGCTGAAGCCAGACTGAGCCGTAAAATGATGCAATACTGGGCAGAGTTTGCCAGAACTGGGTAAGTGGTTCACTTTATTTCTATAAATTTGTATTTTAAATCCAAAGAAAGTCCCCACCCACTTTCAACAAATGTACTTTATATGTAAGTAATGCAATCATACAGTAAAGAAATGCACGCTATTACTTTGCCTGTGTTTACAAGTTGAGTTAATACAGGTAGTTCACGATTTACAACCAGAGTTGGGACCAGAATTTATGTTGCTAAGCAACTTGTGAAATGAATCATGCCCAATTTTAAGACCTTTCTTACCACAGTCGTTAAGGAAATCACTGCAGTTGTTAAGTATAACATATGATTATGTGAATCCATAACTTTTCTTGCTTCCAAATGGTGACCATGTGACCCTGGGGTGCTGCAGCCATTGTAAATACATGCCAGTTGCCAAGTACAGGGAAAAGCCCTGAAATTTTTAAGGATTCTTAATTATGTCACTTATTGGTAATCATTCTTTTATGAGTTCAGTGGTATTACACATATTCCAGGTATGTTATTTCTACACCTGGAATAAAGAAGGCAAAAGGAAGATGGAAAACAAAGCATTACTGTATCATTAGAAGAATGAGCAAAAGCTAGCAAGGGAGTAAGTAGTAAAGGGGAAACACCCAAAATGGAGGGTGCCCAGGGTGTGAGGAATGGGGGAGTGGATTGGGACTGGCAGATTTTAAGAGTCTGTGAGGAGCTGACCTGGGTTTGGATCAGCAAGGAGGAGACACAAGAGATTTCACCAAGCCAAACCCCACCCCTCCCTCAAAGTCCCCTTTGGGAGTTCCCCTTGGTTATAGTTTCTCAAGTCAAGACCGGTCCCTTTGGAAAAGAAGTACATCAGAATAACATACATCAGAATAACTGCGTGGGAAGGGACCTTGGAGGTCTTCTAGTCCAACCTCCTGCTCATGCAGGTGATTCTGTTCCATTCTAAACAAATGGCTGTCCCATATCTTCTTTGAAACCTCCAGTGATGAAGCATCCACAGCTTCTGAAGGCAAGCCATTCCTCTGATCAATTGTTCTCACTGTCAGGAAATTTATCCTTATTTCTGGGTTGGTTCTCTCCTTGATTAGTTTCCATCAGCATCCTTTTCTTCCTCCATAGGAATCCTGCTGAGGATGAGTGGCCGCTCTATAATACCACAGAGCAGAATTTCTTCCTTCTTAATACTGAGCCATTCCAGCAAAGGGCGAACGAGCACTGTGACATTTAAAGAGCCATTTTTCAAAGGCTGAAGAGCCACGTAAGTTCAGCTATTAGTTCTGCCTTTGGAGGGAAGTAGTGGTTGATGAAAAAGATATTTTTTAAAAAAATATTGATATTTATACATTAAATGTAGAGACCACCCATCTCACTCATACAGCAATCTCTAAAAGTCTTGTTTTTATTGCCAGCCTTTGCTGAGACTGAAATAAAACATTTGATTTTGTAGTGGGCAATTTTGTAATGTCTCAAGGGTTAGGTCTCTACTTATGTCTTAGAACAGTGCTTCTCAACCTGTGGTTCACAGGGGGTCCACAAAGACTTGAAAAAATGTTATGATTTAAATCTTGAGTTAAATCTTGGAGGTCCATTACCACAAAGGATATTTAAAGGGGGTCCGTGGTGAAAAAAAGGTTGAGAACCACTGATCCACTCACTATGTATATCTTAGTTCCTCATATAAAGATAACAACAACTATAGTAGTAGTAGTAGTGATGATGATGATGATTATTCTTTTCTTAGATAGGAAATATGCTTCTTTTCCAGTCTTTAACAGATAGATAACTCAGAAGAACACACAGATAATTGCTTTATTCTGGGAATCCTAGGCAAACTTACAGTTTGAGGAGGTGCTTCCAGGAATAGATGGTGGCAATCTGGTTGTTCCACAGGTAAATTGATATTAGATTTTCCTGGTTCTCCCAAGCGTCACATGGTGGGGTGAACGGGAAGTCTACAGCCTTGTGGCTGCATGCGGTGGTCCAAGAACAAAGACTGCCCTCAGGCTAATGTCCAGGGATGCCTTTGAAGCTCCGCCCCCTGACCCTTGCTCCCTCCCCTTGCCCTGATACGTAGGCATACATAGAGTTATACAAGATACATGCATAGAGATATACAAGAGAAATGGATCTGTGATCCAGAACACTCCCCGCTTGGAAATTAATATTTCCACTACTTATTAACTGAATATGAGAAAAAAAAGTATAGCATTAAGTATACAGTACTCAATCTTGACTAACTTGTGACTACATAGGTAAAAACTTGGTATCAAAACATGCATAACTATTGGTAAATATAAAGCATGCACAAATATGCAAAAAATAAGCAAGTGTTACATCAGACAATGCATAAACACAATACATCATTTGAGGTTTCGTCTTCTGGTTCAGTCTTCATCAGCTACGGTGCCAAATCGGAGATCAGTCTGGTGCAAGTGTCTTTGAGTCACGACCTGACTCACGTGGCTCCACGATATGAGCGTCAGCTTGGCAAAGCAGTTCATCAGCTGGATGGGCCCGGTGTGCAAGTCCCTTGGGCCAGTAGTTCTGGTATGCGCTCTTGTCTCTAAGTGAGACAAGGTTGTCTTCCTGTAAAGGAAACTGGAACCAAATCTGGAACAGAAAAGGTGGAAACCAAGGCTTCTCGGGAACAAAGGGAACTGGATTCACAGGATACTCAGGAACTGAAGAACCTGGAAAAACAAGAACAGCTGGATCTGGAAACACAGGAACAGCTGGATACTCAGGATCAGGAACAACAGCTGGAACTGAAGGATCAGGATACTCAGCAACCGAGGTATCTGGAACCACCGATGGAGCATTGAAGATGGCTGCTACTGTTGTCATCAGGGTAGTGAGGACTTCATGTGTGGGTGTGTGTGTCTTTAACGACATAGAGTCCATGATTTCGCGGGGTGCACCAATCATGTGCTCCCACGCTTCGCCTATGCGCGCTTCGCCCATGTGAGATGACTGGGGAAGGCAATTTTTGGCCATCAGGCATTTGTCAATCACTGGGTCATGGCAAATGTCTTCAATAGTCTTTAAGTCCTTGCAGACTCCTATAAAGTTCATTCTTGGGATGCTAAGACATGTGATCAAGATGATCAGAACTATGCCTAATCTCAGGTGCTTCCGCTTAGTCAGGGGTTTGTAGCGGATTGGTTGACGTTTACTGGGTGCCGGAAGTTGAAGGTTGGCGCGTTGATCCGTTGGTCTATTCAAACAGACCAAGAACTCAGGACTTTCTAGCCAGGTCAATTCTGTTAGCTGTGTGGCAAGGTTGGGCCACTTCACTTGGTTGTTGCCTGTTGGCACATGTTGCCATTGTTCAGGACTCAAAGATGTTTCAACTCTCTTCATTCTATTGCCTACATAAACGTAGAAATGTCTGCTTTGTTCGTAGATGTAGCTTGACATCTCCTTGCTGTCTGCGTAGAAGGTGGTAGACTGTAGTTCAAGGCGCAATGTCTTCGCTGTCAAGTTGGTGAGCTTTGCAGCCAACGTGGTACCACATAGTTCTAACCTTGGTATGGTGTGGCCTTCATGTAGTGTTAGTCTCGCTTTTCCAAAGAAGACACCGAGACTGCAGCTCTCCCCGCTGTAGACTCTGATGCATCTTATGGTTGTAAACAATGTGACGTAAGTGTGGCTCTCCCCGCTGTAGACTGTGACGCATCTGAAGGCTGCGTTTGCCTTCTTTGACACATCTGAGGAAGCATGCAATTCTTTCTTTTGCACTGTGGCGGGTGAGCTGGAAACATACGTGCACTGCACTTGCATACTCTTGGGACATCTTGGAAGTAAATTCCATGACTCCCGGTCTTGCAGACGTTGCTTGTCTTGTTTGTCCTCTATGGACAAAGCTAAGTTGTTTTGATTCTGACTGGTCTGGAACACTGTTGCTTCCAAAGCAGGTTTGGTTGTCACAAGCGCGCAGTGTTCTAGGTGTGGCTTTAGGTGAGGTGCTGTTCCATTACAGGGAATGGAGGTGTTTGATATGCTCACCTGGGTTGGAATTTGCGTTTGGTCAACACAAACTGTCCCTCCTATGGCCCATCCGAGTTCCGGCGGGTTCCGTGGGGCTACAACGGTGGAAAGGTCTTCTTGCGCTCCCCGCTGTGTAGCCGTTGCCGTTGCTGGTGGTCCCATCCGATTGCCATCAAGGGTGTGGTTCGATGGGGCAGCAACAGTGAGAAGATCCCGTGGCCTAGTTGTCGTGACATCAACCCCATGGCTGACTGGCACATCTGGCTGCTGAGATTCTTCTGTTCCTCTACTCAGTCTTGGGGGGCTTGTGGCTGGCTGTGGTCTTACCTGTTCACGTTGAAACGCACTTTGGTTGTCCACGTAGGCCTGCCCGTGGCCGTGAGGGCTTTCTCTTGCTAGCCCTTCCAGCCTTTTCATAGATGTAGCGTTATCTAGCTCTCTCTGCAGAATTGCTTCTATTTGGGCAGCCTCTTTTGCTTTCTGTTGTCGCTGTGAAATCTTCTGGTTGGCCCGAGCTTTGACCATATCTTCCTTATGCTGACGTTCTGCCTCTTCCACGCGACGGGCTGCTGCAATCTCTGTCTCGACCAGTTCCTTTCTTTGCTGCCATACTACTGCTGCTTTTTCTGCAGCAGCTTTAGCCCTTGCGGTGTTGACTCGTGCTTGTGTGAGTTGGGCGGCAATGCTGTCTGCCCATGAAGCCCGAGATGCTTGGCTCTGGCGGGAAGATGCTTTTGAATTGCGGGAGGCACCTGTGATGTGAGACTGTTGTGACACTCTGGAATGTGCCTTGGAGATGTGGCGAAAGGGTGAGGCCCTTCCAGATGCATGGGATGGAGCCACGTGCGACCGTTGGGACGGTGCGTGTGAATGGCGGGAAACTTCAGACTCTGCCCTGTCAACCGGTCTGTCTCTCGGGCGAGGCTCGCATTCTGGAGGGCGTTGTGGGGTCTCTAGAAGCTTCTTGCGTTCCTTGTTCCGTAACCGAAGACTTTGCATGTCGCGGTCGACTTCTGAGTCTCTTACTTGCTGCTGGATGTCCTTGAGTTGCTGTTCGGAGTCCATCCATTGTGTGAAGGCGTCCTCCTTATCTTCTTCCAGTGCGTGAGCACGTTCGGGGGAGAGATCCTCCTTTTGCTCTAGGTGGAGTTTGTGCCATTTCTCCCAGCCTCTTTCATGGCGCTTGTGCACGGTGTGCCATTTCTCCAACAGGTTTGCATGCATGGCTTCAGTTGGCTTTCTTTGTTGTCTCAGAGCATAGTGACTTTGAGACATCTTTGGTCTTACTGAGGCTTGAGCTTCAGCTTCTGTGTACAGGTCAAGGGTGGCAGTTTGCAGCGCTTCTCCTTGGCTGTCTGGTTGGGGTAACTCAACTAGGCTGGTTGGTTGAACCCCTTCATCTAGATCAATGAGCCACTCTGCCATGGTTAGGATGGGTTCAGTGATCTTCTCAGCAATTTTGAAGCAAATTTGAAGAACTTCTCTCTTTGACCACTAGGGGTCGCTACTTTGTGTGGGTGGAGGTGGCTGGGAGCGTTCTCCTGTGGTTCCTAGCTATTTAGAAGCAAGTTGGATGAACTTCACTTTTCGACCACTAGGGGTCGCTATCTGCAGGTGGAGGAGCCACTGGAGCGTTGTCCTGTGGTTCCTAGCTAATTTGAAGGAAATTGGATGAACTTCACTTTTTGACCACTAGGGGTCACTATCTGCGTATCAGCTTCAGGGGTGCTGTCTGTAGGTGGAGGAGCCACTGGGAGCGTTGTCCTGTGGTTCCTAGCTAATTTGAAGGAAATTGGATGAACTTCACTTTTTGACCACTAGGGGTCACTATCTGCGTATCAGCTTCAGGGGTGCTCTTCTTTCGAGGTACACCCTTTGTCCACTAGAGGGCTTTCTCTGGGCATGATTAAAGGCTCGCGTGCAGCTCCTCCTTTAACCACTAGGGGACGTCTGAAGAGAGGTCAGCCAAATTCTTCCTATTACCACGTACCTGCAGGGCCACTGAGAGGCATGAACTCCCACCTGGTTGTTAAGTTGCAGGCTGGAACACACTGGGGTATTCAGCTTGTGAGAATAGGCAAGGATTGATGGCTATGTGGCCTTCTTCTGTGACACTCAAAACTGGAAGAAACTTGGATCTCCAGCTTGATTGGGTGAAAACTCTAGTGGGGGTGTCTCAACTAGGCTGGATTTGAATTAAATTATCAAATTGTTGTGATGTGAAAGGAGTAGGAGACCAAA